AGTTTCCTCAAAGGAGCTGGGGAGCAGACAGACCCCATGCAAGGAGGAGCCCTAACAGGCAGGAGCGACTCCATTCCATCTGCGTGGGAGACGCCGCTCTCACAAGCAAAGTCAGACATCAGGATAAGTTTATGTTTAAGCAATATGTCAGGAATACTTCCAAATAACACGCTCCACATGTCTGCACTCAGCCTCCCCACACCTTTCCAGGAGAAACACCACTATGCTCAAACCAGTGGGTCTAATTATTAATCAGGAAAATACTCAATAAGTACATGACTTTTCCTGTGTTTCCAGACTTTCTGGGTATTTTGTGGTGCATTTATTGTACTTTTTTCAGCGTAACAATTGGACCCAATAATTTCAATTTAAAGGAAGGTCCCCTGAAAACATAATGAGCTTATCATTTAAAAATGTAAGTAGCTTACACTTTAAAAAAAAATAAATGATTGAATAAATAAATGAATGGATAACAAAGGATAAATCTCCCATGCAGAAGAATTCCTAATAACTTATGTAAGCACTCCACACTCAAGGAGGGCGAGCGGAACTCCCTGGAACTCCCTGGAACTCCCTGGAACTCCCTGGTCCTTCAGCCCGGCTGAGCATGGTGACTTCTTTACAAAGAGTACAGTCTGGAAAGGGAGGGGCAAAGAGCAACTTGACAGTGGAGAAACCTGACAGACATGACCTCAGCCAGGTGACTTCAGAAGAAAGAGTCTGGCCTATGTTTCCTTCCTTTGCTGTAGAGCTGCAGGGAGGCAGTCTGCTAAGGCACACAGATCTGCAATCTGAGTTCCTCTCCGACCTCTGTGTGTCCTTGGGGCAGTCACTTAACCTCACTGAGCCTTAGTCTCCTCATCTCTAAGCGGGAAGAGGATCAGAATGTGGTGACATAGGTCTGCTCCAAGGTGCCAGCTTAGAGTGTGAGGGGGAGGGGAGGACAGCTCAGCAGAAGATCATGCTGTCACCACCCCTCCCCTATGCAGTTCCCCTCAGCGTCTGGGACCCATCCAGCTACTCACTCATTTTTTTCCAGTGTTAGCAAGGTCAAGGGCCTTTCAGACCTTCTAGATCAATTTGGTTAGGGGGGTGGTTTGCACAAAGCTTTGCTTGTTCACTTTAAGGACCCAGTGGGCACACTTTATAGAACACAATGTTCATGCCAGCATCTCAGACCACAAACCCCAAGAGTCTGAATGCTGAGACACTCAGGAAGTCTAAAGGGTTCTCTCATCTTCAGAGGCCCAGCCCAGCTCACGGGAATGGCATGCATCAAAAGGCAGGAAGTCCCTACAAGTCTGTCCCATCAAGCCACCAGACGCTGGTTACCTCTATGTGGCTGCACAGGAGGTTGAGTTCTCAGGGAGGGGTGAGGTGATCTGGGACCTCTTGAGCCCTGGTGGAACTCACGCCTGAGAAGCAAGGCCACCACAGGAAGCCGGGCTCCGCCCCCTGCCAAAAGAGGGACAGAGTGGGGGCCTCAGCTCCCTTACGGGATAAGTGGTATTTTGGTTCCTGTTTCCTCCCCTCTCTGTTTTCCTTTGTTTCCCCCATACATTCTCCAAGGATGTCTTAAATATGAACTGCAAAGCCCAGGAACAAGCACCCCCACCCTGAGAAACAGGAAGAGTGGGTGGCCTTCTGTTAAGATCTGAGTAGCAAAAGCCAGGGACAGCCTGGCTGTCGCTCTCCCCCTGCTGGCTGTGCCTCACCACATGGCACGATTACTCAGTAAACTGCAGAGAGGAGTGCTAGTCAGACTGTAAGGACTTGTGGGGATCTGTCACAATGGCCAATGGATCACAGGGTTCCTGGGAAATAAGCAGATGAGAAACCTGGTAAGATACTCCCTGACACAGAAGGGGGAAAAATTCCAGGTCTAGTGGGCAGAAATCTAACTCGAGTTGCCATAATAGAGATTCATGACCTCCTATGCAGTTCCCAGACACACAGGTGCCCATGACTGAGAGAGAGGCCAAGCCCTTTGGGAAGAGGTCTGTAATGCAACCAATTAAATACAATGAATCTTTCCCATACCCTCCCTAGAGGGTCCCAGGGCCATGTACTGGGGTGGCTGTACACTGGAGAAAAAGAAACACTCAGACTTTCTAGGGGTTCTTAAATATTGGCTCTGAATTGATGTCTCTGAAGACCTAAAATATCAGCGTAGTGCCCTGGACAAAATAAGAATTTATGGAGACCCTGTGCAAATGGAAACTTCACCCAAGTCCAGTAGTTATTTCCCTAGTTCCTGAATGTGCACAAGGAAGACATACACTTAGTGTGATAGGCAGAATGATAGCACACCCCCGCACCCCGCTCCCCACCGCCGCCTCAGAGAGGCCTACGATCCAATGACCAGAACCTGGGAATAGATAACTTTACACTGGCAAAGGAGAGTTAAGGTAGCAGATGAAATTAGTTTTGTTAATCAGATTACCGTAAAACAGAGAGATTATCCGGATAATGTGGTCCCAATGCAATCACAAGTGTCCTTAACCGTGAGAGTCAGGAGAGTCATTGTCAGTGACCCGACGTGAGAACGGCTCAGCCAACCATTGCTGGCTTTGAAGATGAAGAGGCCACAAACCAAAGAACGCACAGGGCCTGTGGGAGCCAGAAAAGTCACGAAGAGGGCTCCTCCCCTAAAGCCTCCAGGAAGAAATGCAGCCCTGTTGACAAGTTGAATGGGTCTCAGGGAGATCCATTCCACATTTCTGATCCCTAAAACCATAAGATATTAAGTATGTGTTGTTTTAACCACAAAATTTGTGGTTATTTGTTACAGCAACTATAGAATATTCGTACACCTAGCCCTGGCTGGTGTGGCTCAGTGGACCGAGTACAGGCTTGCGAACCAGAAGGTTGCTGGTTTGATTCCCAGTCAGGGCACATGCCTGGGTTGCGGGCCAGGTTCCCAGTAGGGGGTGCGTGAGAGGCAACCACACATTGATGTTTCTTTCCCTCTCTTTCTCCCTCCCTTCCCCTGTCTATAAAAATAAATAAAATATATTTTTTAAAAAGAATATTCATATACCTAGTAAAGGGCAGAATCCTGTGGTGCTCTGTCCCGTGCAGTGAGGATATTGTGATTAGAATGACCAAGAGCAAGGTATGGAACTTCCCCCATTCCCAATGCCCCACGAAGATATCAAACCTAAAACAGCATTAAACCCCTAGGGAAGCTGCAGTGACTAGTGCTACTGTCAAAGATTTGAAACATGCAGGTTCCCCCTGCCCAGGTCCCTATACCATGCTTGTTTGAATGGTATAAGCCCCACATGATTGTGGAGAATGTCAGGAGATTGACCCAGACTTAATCAGACACCAGCTGTGCCAATGCCAATCACAGCTGAAATGCTGTGCACCTAACACCTAGCTACGCTCCAGAAAAACACTTGTCCCCTATGCCCATCAGTACAGAAAATCAGAAGCAAGGGTCACTACAGATGATCTTTTGCCTTTGGGCTCCATCAGCTATTTTTCTCCCATCTTAATCCGGCCTAGAAGGCTATGATCATCTTGATAACTCACAGAACATCACCTAGTCCATTACATCGATGAGCTGTAAGTTGTGATCACCTTCAATGTCTTTGTAAGCTATATGCACTAGGTAAACCCCACAGACTTTCAAAGCCTTCCATATTGTGAATTTTTTAGGATCTAGCAGGCTGGGCACGTCAGAACATCCCTTCTAAATTAAGAGACAAGTTGTTGCATTTTGCATCGCCCACCGTGAAGAAAAGGTGCACCCCTTGGGGACCTCTGAATTTTGGAGATGGCCTGTATCACATTTGGGCATGCTACTCTGTGTCACCTGCAAGGCCACCAGGGTTGATGGGGCCTAGAATAAAGAAGGGCTCTATAATGGCCCAGCCTACTATTTAGGCTGTCAACTTGCCAGGGCTAAGGGGTGCCAGAGAGCTGGTAAAACATTATCGCTGGGGTGTCTGTGAGGGTGTTTCCAGAAAAGATTAGCATTTGAATGGATAGACTGAGGAGAGAAGATGCCTCCACCAGTGAGAGCGGTTGTTAGCCAATACCCAGAAGGCCTGAATAGAACAATGAGGCAGAGGAAAGATGAATTTGTCCTCTCTGCTGGAGCTGGGACATCCACCTCTGCCCTGAGACATCGGTGTTCTCATCTCCGATGGGACATTTCCTGGTTCTCAGGCTTTTGGACTCAAACGGGGACTTATACCATTGGCTCCCTTGGTTCTCAGGCCTCTGGGTTTGGACTGGAACCACACCACGGCTTTTCTGTGCTTCCAGCTTGCAGGTGGCAAATTGGGGAGTTCTCAGCCTCCGTAATTTCATGAGACAATCGATCCCTCCTAATAAGTACCTGGCTATCTAGCTACTACCTCCTATTTTTCTGTTTCTCCGGAGAACCTTGACTGATACACACACCTCTGCAAATAATCCCTTTATTAAATTCTCATCAAATTACCCAGTTTGAATATGCCCTCTGTTTCCAGGGGAGACCCTAACTGATCACAATAGCTACACTTACTTAGCACAGTTTATATGCTGGGCATTGGTATAAGGATTTTACATATACCAACTCATTTAAACCTCCAAAGAACACTGTGAGGCAGCTACTGTTCTCCATAATTTTTTTTGAAGGCCACTGACTTTATTGATTCAAAAAACTTCATATGGACAGTGACTGTTCTGCCAAAAGAGAAGTCAAGTGGCATAAAACAGACCAGAGGTGAGGGTAGGGGTGAGGGAAGGGGCCGGGAATCCACTCAGAAAAGCTAATAATTATTGACCTGAAACTGGGAGGGGAAAGAGAAGAAATGTATGCAAGAGCAAGAATTCCAAACAAGCTGAAATGGTGAGGGGAGAGAACTCCCACAAAGACCCTGGAGGACATTGGAGGTGAGTAGACAGCAACTGTTTGCTTTGTAGAGGAGAAGGGAGGAGCCCCCGGTCAGCTGCAAACTCTGGAGACTTAACGCTAAGGTCAGGGGTTGGGGGCTCCCCAGAGGGCATCAGAAGAAGGCATTGCACCACTCTCGAAGGCACCCAAAGCAGTCCTGGGACTGCTTGGCATTGCTGTCCTTTAGCCATTCCCGGAGGAGGTCTTCATCTTTCTTTAGCACCAGAAACTGGTCAAGGACCACGTAGGCCTTGTGAAAGCCCCTTTCCTCCAGCTTCTTGCCCAGGACTTCACCAATTCCGGCCAGGCTCCCCACTGGCTTTTCCCCCATGGGCTTTGCCACGAAGTCTCGGTGCTTTTGGGAGGTTGTCATCTTGATCAGGGTTAACCAACAGCTCCAGCTTCTCTAACGCCTCCTCCTGCCGCCCAGCTGCTCCTGCTAATCTGTTCTCCATAATTTATGAATGGGGAACTGAAGCACAGGAAAGTTAGTAACTTACTCAAGATCACGCAACTACTGACCTATGGAAACTGGTTCCAGAATCTATGCTCATAACCCCTTGTGCTAAACCGCCTTCCTTAATAATCAAGCTAGGGGCTACATGAGTGTTTATGATTGTAGTAGGAATTTCTCATTCTTTTTGGCCACCCAACATCTGAATCCTCTTCCTGTGCACCTGGGGTTCAAGCACATGACCTGGACTCAGCCATTCAAAACCATTCCGCCCAGGGTTGCAGGGGCCAGAGTAACTCCATGTCTAGTAGCACCATATCTGTTTCTGGGGTAGCTGTGGCAGTGCTGCTGATGGAGTCACTGGTGTTTTGTGCTCGAGCTGTCGGCAATGCATCTACAGCTCAGAGGACCAGTTTTCCTGCAGTTCTGAGAAATGCCACTCTCCTCCTTGTGAAATGTTTTCTTACCTAAATCAGCAGGCATTGATTCCTGGCTCCTGTCACCAGGAACTCTGATTGGTATTATTGTTTGTTCTCTATTTCTTTATGTTTGACATATTTCATAATAGAGAAAATGAATGTAGCTCACTACATAAATAGATTATGGAAGAAAAACTTAGGATCACCTCAACAAAAGCAGAAAAGCCTTCAATAACATTCAACATTTGCAGATAATAGTAATAATGAACTCAGAGGAAACTAGACTAGCTACCAACTTCCTTAACCTGATGGATATGTTCAGAAAAAATAATGAAAATGCAGAAGCATTGAGACCAGAAACAAGAAATGAAAGTACACTGGTACTATTTGTATTTAACATTCTATTGGAGGGCCTAGGAAATGCAATAAAGATAAGAAAAATAAATCAGGAGATATAAGAATTAAGCAGGAAGAGACAAAAAGCATTTATTTGCAGAAAATGATTATCTACATAGAAAATTCCAAGAGAATCTTCAGACTAAAAACTGAATTTATTTATTTTTTAAAAAGATTTTATTTATTTATTTTTAGAGAGGGGAAGGGAGGGACAAAGAGAGGAAGAGAAACATCAGTGTATGGTTGCCTCTCATGAAGCTCCCACTGGGGACCTGGCTTGCAACCCAGGCATGTGCCCTGACTGAGAATCAAAACTGTGACCCTTTGGTTCACAGCCTGAGCTCAATCCACTGAGCTACGCCAGACAGGGGCAAAAAACTGAATTTAAAAGAGTTCAGAATGAGGGCTGGATGTAATATCAGAATACAAAAACCTGACAGCATTCCTAGACAGTGGAATAACCAGTTAGAAAAAAAAAAACACCCTATGTATTTATTTTTTACTTTAATTTAATTTTATTATTTTGATTATTTTTAATAGTTCATTGTATTTTTTTCCACTATCATTTATTCCCCCCCAAAAAATCCTATTTACAATAGCAGCACAAGTCTAAGATGCTGAGGAATGAATCTAACAAAATATGTCCAAATCCACTAGGGAGGAAATCTACCACCATTATTAAAGGACATAGGAAGAAGACCTACATCCAGAAATGGAGAAATATAACCTTTCAAAGATGAGAAGGCTCAATATTGTACAGATGTCATTTTCCCCCAACTTAATCTAGAACTTATCATCTATAATGCAACCTTAACAAAAACACAAATAGGTTTTCTTATCAAACTTGATTTTTCAAAAAAGAACAAAAGCTAAGAAATATCTGAAGAGCAACGAAGCAGGACTTGCCTTCCCAGATGCTGCAGTAATATAACAATTAAGACCACGTGGTGTCTGTGAAGGGCGAAGCCAAAAGACCAGAGGCTAGAACAGAGAGGCCAGAAACTGGCCCATGCCGTATGAAAACAGTAGACAGCAGAGGGGACGTTACAAATCAGTAAACAGAGGGCTGCACCATTCAAAAGTGCTGGAAGAATTCATTAGCCAAATAGAAAATAGTTAGACTCTTACCTCATAGCGTAAACAAAAACAAATGCTAGAATAATTGGAGACCTAAAAGTGGAAGTAAAATTTTAAAACATTCAGAAAAAAAATGGAATTTATCTTGATAGCACTGGGTAGGAAAATATTTCTCAAATAAGACACAAATAGGATAAACTATAAAATTTAAAAAAAAAACTTCTACACCAAGAGAAAGGAAAATAAAATGCTAGAGTCACAGTGACAGTAAAGCCACAGACTTCAGTGTTCATTTTCAAAAGCTATAAGGAACTCCTTTAAAAGTAAGAAGAAAATGGCCAACAAACAAAGTGGAAAAAGGGGCAAAAAATTTTAACAGGAAATTCAAAGAATGGTTAAGAGCATGCGGAAAGAGCCCCCAAACTCATTAACAGGGGAATGCAAGTTAAAACGACCCTGAGAGATCACTTTACAGGCAAGAATTTAAAAAACTGACAATGTCAAGCGTTGGCAAAGATGTGCACAAATAGGAACTCTCACATGCTGACAGTGAGAGTGTAAATTAGTACAGCCACTTTGAATAACACGTTGGCCATAGCTAGCACACTCAGTGGTGAACAGATCCTTCCGTCCAACAGTTCTGCCTCTGGGTTTACACCATAATCAAACTCCTACACGCTTGCCCAAAGAGGGACACACGAGAACGCCCACTACAATTCTGCAAGAGCAAAACACTGCGAACAACTCAACTATCCATCGATAGAAACCTGGAGAAATAAATTGCAGTGGAAATGTATAAGGAATACCATGCAGGAGCTTTTTTAAAAATCAGCTAAAATTATATGTATCATCATGTATAAATCTCAAAAACAAATGTGAAGGCATGATGAAGTATAATGTCTACATGATGTAATTTAGGTAGCTAATGAATAGTTCAAACAACAAATCATATATATTATTTGTAGACGCTATATATATTGTAAAATTATTAATATATCACCAAAACTCAACACAGCAGTTACCCCTGGAAAAGGGAGGGAAAGGAACAAGATTGGGGAGTGTTACACAACAGAAGGAATGGTAATGAACTCTACCTGTAACCTTAAAAATTAGCAAAAACTCAGAAGCAAATTTGGCAAAATGTTAAACATTACTCAAATAGGTAGTAGGTACAAAGAATGCTGTAGTAAACTCTGAACTCTTGTTTGAAATAGTTTACAATTTTAGAAAATGGAATCTTTTTTTGCAGAAATTGACAAGCTGATCCTAAGATTCATGTAGAAATGGAAGGGACACAATTGCAAAATAATTTTATTTTATTTTTTAAATTTTTATTGTATTTTTTCCATTACAATTTATCCCCTTTATACCCTTTCCTGCCAGCAATCACTACACTGTTGTCCATGTCTGAGTCCTTTTTTGTTTTTGCGCAATCCCTCCACCCTCTAACCCACCTATTGCTGTTGTCCTGCTCTCTATGGTTCTGTCTCTATTTTGCTTGTTAGTTCAGTTTGTTCATTAGATTCCACATATGAGTGAAATCATATGGTATTTGTTTTTCTCTGACTGGCTTATTTCACTTAGCATAATGTTCTCCAGGTCCACCCATGCTGTCATAAAGGGTAAAATCTTCTTTTTATGGACAAGTAGTATTTCATTGTATAAATATCCCATAGTTGTTTTATCCACTCATCTGCTGATGGACATTGGGGCTGCTTCCATATCTTGGTGATTGTAAATAACACTGCAGCAAACACAGGGGTGCACAAGTGAGCACAGCAGTGAGAGCAGGGTTAAAAACAACAACAAGAACAAAACAGAAAGAGCCCTGGCTGGTGTGGCTCAGTGGATTGAGCGCCAGCCTGTGAACCAAAGGGTCTCTGGTTTGATTCCCAGTTGGGGCACATGCCTGGGTTGCAGGCCGGGTCCCTGGAAGGGGGCGCATGAAAGGAAACCACACATTGATGTTTCCCTCCCTCATCTTCCCATCTCTCTAAAAATAAATAAAATCTTTTTTTAAAAAAGAAAGAAAGTGAAAAGAGAACCCACCAAATGTATTTCGAAGAAAATATTTGCAAATCATTTCTCTAATAAAGGCCTAGTATCCAAAATATATAAAGGACACTTACAACTCAATAATAAAATGACAAATAATCCATTTAGAAAGTGGGTGAAGGATCTGAATAGACATTTCTCCTAAGAAGTGGCCAATAAGCACTCAGAAAATGCTATCAACACGAATAGTCATTAGGGAGGTGCAAATCAAAAGCATGAGATACCACTTCACACCCACTAGATGGCTATGCTCAACTAGATGGATAGTAAGTATGGGTGAGGATGTGGAAAAACTGGAACCCTCATACATTGCTAGTGGGAATGTCAATAGTGCAGCTACTTTGCAAAGCATTTGACAGTTCCTCAAAATCGTGAACACTGAGTTGCCCTACAACCCAGCAAGTCCACATCTAGCTGTATACCCAAGAAAACTGAAAACATGTCCACATACAAACCTGTACTCAAACATTCACAGCAGCAGTCAGAAAGTCAAGTAGTCAAAAAGTGGAAATAACCCAAATGCCCGTCGACTGATAAATGGATAAACAAACTGTGATATAGCCGTACAATAGAATATTATTTGGCAATAAAAATGAATGAAGAACTGACAGATGCTAGAACATGGATCAACCTAGAAAGTGTTATGCTAAGTGAAAGAAGTCTGCACAAAGGTCCATGTGCTGTCTGATCCCATTCGGGTGAAACATGCAAAACAGACAAGTCCACAGATGCAGAAAGCAGACGAGTAGGTGTCTGTGGCTGGAGAGGAAGGGTAAATGGGTATGGAGTTTCTCTGTGGAGTGATGAAATATTCAGGAATTAAATGGTGGTGATGGTTGGGAATATACTAAAAGTACTGAATCATACACTTTAAAAGGGTCAATGTTATGGCACATGAATTATACTTTGGTTTAGGAAAACACATCGAAGATCTTACTCTGGAGTCTGTGTCCTGCTCTATCCCCCCTCCCC